ACCATTAAAATCGAATGAAATGAAACTGAATTAAAACTAACTTCACAATATTAATTGGGTACCTAACCTTACGGTATTAATGAAAATCGGCAATAACGAACAAAATCTTCAGCACCCTTGTGTTCTTTATAACCGAGTTCGACCGGCACAGTTACATGCTAAAAACACCTTTAGACTTTGTTGGAGCCAAGCATCAGTTTATGTGTTTATCTACTTTGTTGTGGTAAGGGTCCCTTGTGTTTCAAAATTACCGTCCATTAACGCCAGAAAGTGTTGATCGTTTGAATAAAAAGCCAATAAAGTTTCTTAGCAGATGGTGTTACGTATAAAAAAAATGCTATTCTCCCCAACCGTTGCATGTTTTATAAAAATTAGAAAACTTACCTTATACCTACTTCTGAAACCGCAATGTAAAATATCGGCTTTTATTATAAAAATAATAATCCCTAACGTTACGTGTACTTATTTCGACTTTTGTAACACAATTTCGTCTTATGTGCATCCATAATTGTCTGCGATGTATTTAGTTATCATTTTTTCTAAGAAACCAGTTAATTTCGAAGAAGATACAATAATAAAACATTAAAGAAGATGATTAACAATAAATGAACTAAACTTAGTATCGACGATGTAACCTGAAGAATATGTTTTGCTAGTGTACCTATCTACAAACGAGCTACTATATTGTCTTTTGAACAGATAAATGTTTTGGGTCAACGTGTAAATTATTGTTTATCTTTACAATTTGTCTGGACTGGTTTTCTTTGCTGGTCCGCTTTTAACCGATTACAAAGGCATACATAATAAATTATTGTGTTCCTTACACAATTAAAATTAGAAAAGGTTAGAAATGAAGAGGTTTTAGACAGAATAGCAGAACAGACGACTATAGAAGTCAATAAAAAATAGGTGAGATTGATTGGTAAGACACCTTCAAAGGCATGAAGGTCAAGTCAGAGACATCTTAGAGGCAGAAACGGGAGTTAGGAGGGGTAAAGATAGGCTTAGATTAGATTACTGTTCGGAAATAGTTAAGGATGTGGGCTGTTCTAGTCTTAGGGAAATGAGAAAGTTAGCTGAGGATAGGAAAGAGTGGAGGTGCATGTCCAACCAGTCTTGGGACTGACGACCTTATGATGATGATACACAACTGTCTTTATTTTATTGCTCCTCTTCTATCAAAGTCTTATTGTACCTTTAAAGGCAAAAATTTTATGATACGCAATCACTCATTCAATTATAAATTTCTGTTTAATAAATTAATTCTAGTATGTACTTATGGGAAAGTTTTCGTGGGAATGCTTCCAATGAATGGCAGGTGTCGATTATCGTTCTCGCTTCATTGATGTGGAAAGCAAGTGCGAGAAGGAAAAAGAGATAGAAACAGCGGACGATGAAGGATAACTGTGGAAGGGTATAACGACGTTGGCTGTAGTTCATGTTTATCCCGGGCAGAGTAGAGAAATGCCGCAAGACGACATCTAGAAAGTGCCACCCTCCGACACCCGGCGTCGGGATGCCTCCTACCGATGGCGCCAAACATTTTTCCGATCAAAACGTTGTCAAACCGCAAAATATGCTTTCGTTTGCTCAACGGATAATAATAACATGCAGAGGCTACGTTATCATGATTTATTTTACATAAAACAAAATATGAAATATAACTGAGAAAAACAAATTGCAAAGAAACCGAACTGATAAGAGACGTTTATGATATATACGCGTTCATGTAGGGAAGGAATTCCAAATACGGACGGGGTTTTATAAACTAGCGAAAAAAAAAATCACATTGTCCTATTATTTGCCATTTACCTTTTTTGCATTTAAATGAGAAGCGTCGCGTTCGCGGAGTTATTCTCTTTTGAAGTTTGTCGTTGACAAGGATTTCATGTAGACAAAAGAGGGTGTAGTGAATATAATTACGTATAATGTATTTGTAATGTGTCCACGCACACATCTACACATTCGTTCCTCCCCTTTCTCCTGGTGAACGCTATGATGAAACCTTTTAAATTAAAGAGTAATCCAGTTGGTAGGAACAAGTGTTTATGGAGGGACGATTGCCTATTGCTTCCAAACTTTTTTTTAAATATGAACAAAGCAACGTTCTTCGAAACTATCAAAAAATTACGACAGCAGAAGTTGGCTGACAGACAGAATATGAACGTCTGTAAATTTGAGTGCCTGCGAATCGTGAATCATTAGTGTCATCATTGTCGCAAGGCATTTTAATGGTAACAAACCCGGAATGCAACTGCATTTACGTGTAATGACACGCATTCCTTGGACCAAGTCTTTGATCTCACTACAGCTGAAAGACTTGTATATAAAACTTGCAGCTCGTCCATAGGAAACTGCGTTACGTTCTACAGGTTTATTTCGGACGCAGGAATTGAGCAAAATGAGCAATATGCAAACTACGAACGGTGTGTTAGTATACATTACATATTCACAAGCACCTACCTACAAACTAGTTGTAATAGCAGCATAAACCGCTTATAAAGAACTGATAAAATTTTTGTCGACATCGCATATTACCTAGATTATACCATACCTACTATACCAATTGCGAACAAACACTATAAACGGAGTCGTTAAAAAAAAAAAAATACCCACGCACTCATTATTTTATAAAGGTTCATATCGCCGCCGTATGATTTATTAACGGAACCAATTTCGAAATCTTAATTAGGTGTTTATTTTTGTCTACAGTTTCTGGTCTACATCATCTAATTGAACACTGCAGCAACATGCACTGATTGTACTTTTAAGCAAGGGCTGTTTAATTTGAAAGATTGATTAATAAGAAGCATCCCTATCATTTTCAATTACACTTTCTCATTCGGTTACGTTCAACTTTCGATAAAACTATGCAAACAGCGCCAAAACATCACTTCATCTATTTTAATGAACTGTTTCGCATTATAAATAATATGGTGTACTAAAAAGTCAAGCTTTCTTCAATATTTGCATTTAAATTGATTTGCGGTCACGCCAGCACAAACGTTAAATGAACTGAAAATCTTGGTGAAATAGAGCAAAAAAAAAATTCTTCTTTAGATATGATCGCTTAATAAGCAAAAGCTAGAAAAGAATGTTTTTTCTTTAAATTCACAAATGTGTTCGCGTGTTTCCTCTCTAACTTTTCATACATATAAAATACGTCCTTAATGCTATAAATTTTACTCCCTGCAAAACTTCAAATCATCACCTCTACACATACTTTGAATTCAATTTACGGTAACTATCCCCAAACACGTTCGACGTTCGATGATATCGCTTGCTATTTAGGTAGCTTTGGTATACTTTTTTACGATCACAGTTATCACACTCGTATTTCTGTTGTCAAGAAAAAATCACCATTCGCATATCAGAAAATTTATCGAGGTACGAGGGTGGATTGATAAGTTTCCGGCCTAACCAAGAGATGACGCCACTAGGCCTACCTTGAGGTGACATTCTATAGTACCATCCTTGGATAGCTTGTAGCTATAGTTTCAGCCCGATCTCCTTGCTAGTGTAGGTTTGACAGCACGCTGAACAAGACGCCTCTGTGGTTTTCGTAAAAATGGAAAAGCAGGAAAATCGTGCTGTCATCAAATACTTTTATTTGAAGGGGTTAACGCCGAAGGAAATTAAAAAAGAGATGGACTCAACACTGGGGACATCCTCCCCGTCATATTCAACCGTTAAGCAGTGGGTTTCCGAGTTTAAAAAGGGTCGTGTGAGCACCTCTGATGGGCCTCGCTCAGGACGCCCCGTTGAGGTCACAACTCCAGATATGATCGAAAAAATTCATCAAATAGTGCTGGGAGACCGCAGATTGAAAGTGCGTGAGATAGCTGAGACCTGTAAGATGTCATATGAACGTGTGCAACATATTTTGCACCAACATTTGCATATGGAAAAGCTCTGTGCAAGATGGGTGCCGCGTTTGCTAACAGTCGACCAAAAATTGATTCGAAAAAACATTTCTACCGCAAATTTGTCATTGTATAAGCGTAATCCAAGCGAATTTTTGCGTCGATTCGTAACCGTTGACGAAACGTGGGTCCACCACTACACTCCTGAAACCAAAGAACAGTCTAAACAGTGGATTGGACCAGGGGAACCAACTCCAAAGAAGGCAAAAACAATTTTTTCGGCGAACAAGGTTATGGCTACTGTTTTTTGGGATGCAAGAGGTATTATATACATTGATTACCTTGCAAAGGGTAATACTATCACTGGTCAATACTACGCAGACTTATTGCAACGTTTGAGCCACGAGGTGAAAATTAAACGACCTCATCTGGCGAAGAAAAAAATCTTGTTTCATCACGATAACGCACCAGCGCACACGTCAATCGTTGCGACGGCTAAAATCAACGATCTAAAGTTTGAATTGATGCCGCACCCTCCTTACTCTCCAGACCTAGCCCCGAGTGACTATTTTCTGTTCCCTAATCTCAAAAAATGGCTTGGCGGTAAGAGATTTGCGGACAATGAAGAAGTAATCGAAGCTGTAAATGGTTATTTTGAGGAGCTTGACGAATCAGTCTATAGAGATGGCATTAATAGACTGGAACACCGCTATGAGAAATGTATCAGCCTTGGAGGAGATTATGTTGAGAAATAAAAAAAAAAAATTTTTAAAAACCTTGTTTTTCTTGGTCAGGCCGGAAACTTATCAATCCACCCTCGTATTTACGGCGACATAAAAAAATATCGAGTTAATTTATCTTCTTCCACTTTCTTCGATTAAACCGAGCTCTTTGTTTAATCATAAGTTTAAGTATTTGTACTAATTGTTAACAACTCTTAAATAACTCATGGAGTTACGGGAACTTTTCACTACCCTTTCAAATAAAATGTTTTTAATTCAAAAACTAACCCTTAAGTACTGGCTCATCTTAAGAACTATGTACATATATTGTACATAATAAAAATAATTATATAACGCTGATTGAAAATTTGTCCTACAATAGAACGGACATTTAATTACACGATAAATTACTCACCCTAGAAAGCTGTCTCTGCAGTTTGCTGAGAACTTGCCTGTCGCGAAGTTCGGCCGTTTGGGCCGCTTCCAAGGACGCCTCGAGCTGTGCCACCCGGATTTCCAATTTCTCCTGCAACAAAAAAAAACTTTCAGTTACACGACTTGAGCGACAACTACAAAAAAAAAGAGTAATGTCCTCTGTGCATCCTACGAATTAAACATAATATGCAGCAAACGTTTTCATTTCTGTGAATCGTCCAATGCAATTTTATTTCAAGAATCTTTGTAGAATTTCTTGTCAAGTTTTTCTAGCTGCATTTATTTCAGCGCCGTTGGAACTAAATATTTTACATCTCGTCCTACGGTTCGTTGTTTAATTTGCATAGATCTGATGCGGTTAATAAGGACTAGTTCTAAACCAACGAGTACAGGAAGATGATATTTTTGATTTTATGTTCCATGATTGGGGGTGCATGTCGAAGCAGTCTTAGGACTGACGACCCATCCTGTGATGATGATGGTGAATGTTCCATGTTCCACATAAAAAAAGATGTGTTCTGCTTCTCCACAGCTCTTGTAGCCAAACCGCCTCGGCAGGCAAGTTGAATGTGCAGATTATGTCGATTACGTAAATGCAAACCCTTAGTAAAAATTTTACAGTACTTAAATATTGTATCATTACTATTGTACAGGCATGATTTGAGTGGATAATAATGTATTACAGTTACATGGAATACGAACAGTGTAAATTCAAAGTCACGGCTGTATAATGAACATTCCTTATGGTTCCGTCGCGCCTAAAAAATTCGACGTTTCGCCTACGTGTTCGTGTCATCGCAAGCAACGCAAATCTTAATGGTAGGTGACTGAAAAACGCAACAGCAAGCCACCGACCCCGTTACCAAAAACAACTTACGTAAAATTGACATAACGACACACCTTCCACCAGCAGTAGCGTCTATCACTTTTTCTTCATTTCGAGCGCCCACTAATATCTAATGTCGTTCAATTTCGACATGGAAACCTCGTGTCAATAAACATGTTTTCGTCCTACGGAGTAATTTTTCTGCGAAACTTTTACTTAAAGTTCATACGCCTAATGCTTCCTAATGTTTTCAAAATGCCAACAGCACGTATAGTTAGTAAAAAATCGTCAAGAATGACAGCCAATAAATAATACGTACTGTCTTAAGTACAGTATTCCTATTGCGTTTGCGCCATCGTCGACATCTCCACGAAATAAACAAAATTTTTGATGCATATATTAGCATTCTCCGTATTTTCTGTTTGGTATTATATCTCGATAAAAAATGTCGAATAAATCTATCGCATCAACCAAGACTTTTGTACCCTTTGGGCAATAAATATTTGGCTTAATTGTATTAGTGGCCACCCAAAAAAAAAGACGGTAACTTACCCTGTTGACAGCTATAAATTTTTTTAGTCAGATTGGAAGCAATTAAATTCTCTCTTCTAAGAAATAGGCGAGATAGGTTGGTAGGACACCTTCTGAGGCAGGAAGGTCTAGTCAAAGACATATTACAGGCAGAAACAGGAGTTAGGAAGAGTAAAGGTAGACCTAGATCAGATTACTCTTGGCAAATAGTTAAGGATGTGGGTTGTTCCAGTTTTAGAGAAATGCGAAGATTAGCTCAGTTTAGGAAAGAGTGGAAGTGCGTGTCCAACCAGTCTTAAGACTGACGACCTTTTAATGATGATCTATTTTCCATGAGGCTATGTATAACTTCAAACTTGTACATTTTTGTCACATTATTCACGGTTTAGTTTACATGCAAAACAATAATTAGGTTTAAAAAGCACAATAATAACGTTCGATTGAAATTTCCCGTAAGTTTTGGTATGTATTTCAATCAGGTACCTATCAGTAGACTCTATCTTATATATCAAAAAGCTACTTTTTAAATTCCTGTCTAGTGTCCAAGATGTACGAGGGTGGATTGATAAGTTTCCGGCCTGACCAAGAAAAACAAGGTTTTTAAAAATTTTTTTTTTTTATTTCTCAACATAATCTCCTCCAAGGCTGATACATTTCTCATAGCGGTGTTCCAGTCTATTAATGCCATCTCTATAGACTGATTCGTCAAGCTCCTCAAAATAACCATTTACAGCTTCGATTACTTCTTCATTGTCCGCAAATCTCTTACCGCCAAGCCATTTTTTGAGATTAGGGAACAGAAAATAGTCACTCGGGGCTAGGTCTGGAGAGTAAGGAGGGTGCGGCATCAATTCAAACTTTAGATCGTTGATTTTAGCCGTCGCAACGATTGACGTGTGCGCTGGTGCGTTATCGTGATGAAACAAGATTTTTTTCTTCGCCAGATGAGGTCGTTTAATTTTCACCTCGTGGCTCAAACGTTGCAATAAGTCTGCGTAGTATTGACCAGTGATAGTATTACCCTTTGCAAGGTAATCAATGTATATAATACCTCTTGCATCCCAAAAAACAGTAGCCATAACCTTGTTCGCCGAAAAAATTGTTTTTGCCTTCTTTGGAGTTGGTTCCCCTGGTCCAATCCACTGTTTAGACTGTTCTTTGGTTTCAGGAGTGTAGTGGTGGACCCACGTTTCGTCAACGGTTACGAATCGACGCAAAAATTCGCTTGGATTACGCTTATACAATGACAAATTTGCGGTAGAAATGTTTTTTCGAATCAATTTTTGGTCGACTGTTAGCAAACGCGGCACCCATCTTGCACAGAGCTTTTCCATATGCAAATGTTGGTGCAAAATATGTTGCACACGTTCATATGACATCTTACAGGTCTCAGCTATCTCACGCACTTTCAATCTGCGGTCTCCCAGCACTATTTGATGAATTTTTTCGATCATATCTGGAGTTGTGACCTCAACGGGGCGTCCTGAGCGAGGCCCATCAGAGGTGCTCACACGACCCTTTTTAAACTCGGAAACCCACTGCTTAACGGTTGAATATGACGGGGAGGATGTCCCCAGTGTTGAGTCCATCTCTTTTTTAATTTCCTTCGGCGTTAACCCCTTCAAATAAAAGTATTTGATGACAGCACGATTTTCCTGCTTTTCCATTTTTACGAAAACCACAGAGGCGTCTTGTTCAGCGTGCTGTCAAACCTACACTAGCAAGGAGATCGGGCTGAAACTATAGCTACAAGCTATCCAAGGATGGTACTATAGAATGTCACCTCAAGGTAGGCCTAGTGGCGTCATCTCTTGGTTAGGCCGGAAACTTATCAATCCACCCTCGTACATTTAGAGGTCTGAAACTGAATTTTCTGTGAAAAAGAAGAGGAAATTGACGGTGAACATTGAAAAACCGCATAAAGTAAAGCAGGTGCTTTATTTCAAGAAAGCCACGACTGAATAGAGCTTTTTATGTGCGAAGCAAATAACTTACTGACAACACCAACCAGTACAAAAATGAGTACGCATGTGTGTTATATTATGGATCCCCCGAATCAGAAATCACTGACTGGGCTTTTAGGGGAACAAGTCGCGTCGGTCCTGTGAAACTATGATGACCGCTTTCGATTACTGTTACAATACATGAACTATTTAGTAGCCTCAAACAACACAAGAATATGGATTTTGATTCAGTTATTAGATGTACTGTAAAATAATTAAAAATGGGGTTTACGTCATCAACACAGCTTTACAATAAAAAGACTGTCGTATTGAAGGAAATATTCTCATCCGCCACTTTACATCTGTCAGTTTCATTGGATGGGCCTGAATTGGTAGAGGATTTATAGAGCTGTAATATAAGAAACGTCCCAGAATTGTTTTACGTGTAGACAGTCGAGAAGGGTAAACGCAAATCGCAACAACTTTAGTTGCTAGGTGCCGTATGTCACGGAATAATTCTGTGGGTTGGGACTAAAAAGGCCAATGTCAATATTTTGTTGTTTTGGGTAAACCACTTCTTTAGATTTCTTGCTTTCATTCGTATGCCAAAACGGCCAATTAAAATTCAAGCAATAGGAGATTAATAAATAGTAACGATTACTCAGCTGCAATTTTTTCAAATGTGAAGATTTTAGCTTTTTTAGCTGAAATTTCTCGGCCCTGCGCTATCCTCTGCTTTATATCCCTACTATTCCTTTCGTCCTGACTTATCTGACTTCCTAGATGCCTAAAATCAGCTACTTGTTGTAATTTTTCGTCTCCTATGTTTATATTCCCTCTTTCCCTATACACAGAATTATTGGAAATAAAAAGAAAGGAAACGAAAAGAGAACGAACGACATGAAAAGCAACTTACGGTGAATAGTAATTAAAAACTTGGCGAGTCTTTGTTCTTGCAAAGTTGAAGCCGCAAAGAAAGAAAAATAAATTGTACCTTTTAAGAGTCATCAATTTTTCAGAAGAGCTTAAAACGTTTTCGAAAGCGGCGCGCCGCGGCGCCTTCTATTAAGATGTTGCGTAAAAGTATCTACAATGTACATTAGTACATTCCGACTTTCTCATAACACGCGAGATTTTTCACGAATTTTTAAAATACCAATCTCCACCTACAATTCGATAATGATAATACCTATCTTCTTGTACATATATTCATTTCAAACATTGATAAAAATACTTGAATCAATAAATCCGTTTTTACCTGCCAATAATGCTTGTGTTGCAAGAATTACATGAAATGTTACAGTTGCATTGCACGTTTTTAATATTCCTTTTGATGTTAGTTAAAGCTAAAGAGTTATTTTTTAAAATATGAAAGAGTTGATTAGCGGAATGGGAGTAAAGGAAAATCTTCCTGTCTACTTCACTTCATCTACTAACTAAACTTTGTTAAATGCCCCAGCTCGTGCTTTTCCGCCTTCTAGGTAACAATAATGACGAAAATTAATGAACAAGTTTCAACGATAATGTGTTAAAGGGTAAGGAAAATTGTTGGTAAATCTCATCCGTTTGCTTCGCATCTAATCTCATTTCTTGTTATCAGGGAAACAGTTGGGTTACTGACAAAGATAACCAAACTTTTAATTACTTCAACGGAAATAATAATGAATTATGTTACAAAATTTATAATATAAAAAAATAATTACATAAGACCGACTCCTTATCGTTTCAGTTAAAATACTTTTTTTTTCGTCCATAGAATTTGATGAGAACCGATTTTAGATTATAGTGAATATAAAAAACAATTAACTTTACCGCATGGCTCAAATTTTACTCATCAGTTATCTATCCCACGTAAGTCGAGCGAACCATATCAAACACAGTATGTGCTCTTGGTTCTTCACCAGAAATTATCATTTGCATTATTAGAATGGTTCTGTTAATAACTGTCGACCGTTCTAAGGAAAGGAATTTTACTTTAATATGTGTATCCTTCTTATTAAAAATACATTACGTTTTATATGCATATGTGTATTGTAGGTGACGTGTTAATAACCGGAAAAACACACATGGGAATAGCACCTGATATGGAGAGGTCCGTGTGAAAATATATTATACTTTGGTAAACTGCTGCAAACGTATAAATTAACGCAGACAACAATAAATTTTCTCAACAGCAACAACTATAGCACACACGTAATGATAAATTTTGATGTTAACTTAATAAAATCTGTTTGTTTAGAAGCTGGAAGCCGCTGAAAAACATTGAACCATCATTAAAAAACCGCACACGTACGGAGGTGCGTTCCGTTTCCTATTTGCGATCATCATTTACATCCTGCTTCCTTTTTTCCGTACGTAAAACATTTTCTCATACTTGAGAACGGTTGACTTAAAAGTCGCATTTATAACAGAATACAATGCAATGCGAAAATCGACCATGTCCCCTATCTCTCCCGTTTCGTTATAAATTTTGCCGTTATTCACAACGGCCGCCAATTCGACCGGAAACAGCGATAACGTCATCCAGCGGAAAAATCGTGCGCAATCGTGTATAATTCGACACTTTTACGTTCGAGTCAAATATAGTTTCAGCTAAAATTATAATTTTATTCCCAAATTCTTTGGCGACATGATGAATGGTAAACGTATTATGCCTCGGACTGAAGGGCCGCGATCCAAATCAACTGTTAAGTCCAGACGTTTCGTCGGCAACTGCGGCTGACGACATCTCCAGTGGTACAGTTCATTTGGACCACGATGCTTCATAATTCTACCGCGGATTCCGACTGTAAACGCCCATGTTCTTACAACATGATGGATGCTTTAAGGAGAGCAAGCGGAAGGAAAACCGCAGACAATTCCGTCGACATCTGTGCACCGACCCGACCGGATAACAATGTTTAATGATAACACTGTACTCGATCCAGAGTCTATTCTTTGTCAACATCAAGACGCTATTCAAGGACTGTCGCCGTCGAAACGTGCCATCATGCGCGTATTTGTCTTGTCTGGTTGCATCATGAAAATTCGATACGCGGAAGCCGGCTGCAAGCATATTCAGTAGCTATTTAACAACGTTCTTCCTCCAACTATCAACAAATCTACATAGACAAATATTGTCACAACCACCGTCAGCAAGAAAAACAACGAAGAATTCGGAGTCGATCACGACGTGACATTCTCCGTGAGTAAATAAAAACAACAATGAAATGTGTTAACGTTAAAAGCACATTTTGCCAAGCAATTTCTAAAACCCCTCGTGCTCTCACAGGGATGATCACGCATCCACCAGTCTAATAATTCTGCTTTGCTCATAAGCGTCAAACGTCTGTACGATTTAAAGGTACCACGTAGTGCAGTGTAACAACCGCATGCACACTGCTTCTTATCTCAAGCCAATCTTAGCACTTTTCGAACAATAATTTAATCTAAATCTACCCCTGTCCCTTTTAGATCCTATTTCTGCTTCTAATAGTATATCTTTGATGTCTGAAAAGGTGTCCTTCCTACCTACCTATCCCGCTTCTTTCTAATACTTCCTCATTTGTCAGCTTTGCTGTTTACGGTATTTTCAGCATCCTTCTATGACACCTTTTAACTTTTTGTTTCTCGCAATCTACGTTTCACACCCATACGGAGCAAACATACACTTTTCCAATTTTTAGTAATAATAAATGAAATAGGTCTAGTGTTCGTTGTTTTAAGAGAACAGACGTTCTACTTTTCCGGATTTTTCATGATCGGTGTTCAAATCCGACTCGCATCTAATCTATTTTTTATTTTGTGCTTCCATCGGTGGTGAAAACAGTCCGTCGAGCTCGTCCGGTTTTTTCGCATTTACTTAATAAACTTACATAGCGCCGGCTTTCCCTTTTCCAGAAATATAATACATTATCTATCTATGTATAGATGTCCAAATCTCCGCTATCGATAGCAGGAGTCCACTTTTTTTTCACTGTCCCTTTTGTTTTTTGTTACTTCTATTGGAAAAACCGTGATTTATTGCATGCTTACCGTTAGGGAAAAACTAAACCGATAATTTCTTTACACTTGTCTACTTTAAAATTAAAAAAACAATTCTGAGATAATTGCAGACAGATGGGTACATCAGAAGGAGTTTAAATTTGGTATGAAAGTTTTAAATTCATAAAAGTATTAAATATAGCAAATTTGACCTATACAACATTTCTTTTATACATACAATCTATGACAGGTTGTACGTACACATCATTCATTTTGTCCCTTAAAAACTACCTCTAATCCTGGAAGGGGCGAAAAGAAATAAAAATAGAAATGGAAAAAGGGCCCAACACACCTAATCTCGAATGCCATAACACTTAGTTCCAGTCCCGATGGTCAAACAGTCGAATGTATCAAAGGGACTTTAAGGAAACCCCACGACCTTACGCTTTCACTTAGCCAGATTACGTCTTACGTCTTCTTATTGGCGCCCCAACTTGAACGAAAACTGACCGCACATTTTCCAGTCTGATACCTACCTATTCATTGCGATGCCAGCTCTTGGTGAATTCGGGCGTTATGTTTTTATTTCCCAATCGTAAAAGTCTTTGGGCCAGCCACAGAAACACAAATTGATTATTTGTTCGTTAATTGCTATGAAACCGGATTACAAGGATTATTGAAAAACTGTTTTGGCAATCCTTTTAATATCGTATAGACATGTTATTACATACGCTCTACTGACATTCAAATGGCTATCCGATGTTATTTAAAATCAATTTGAATCCAAACGCCAGTAGCTGTCATACATGGCAACAAAAATGTATAAACGAAACGTTTATAATTATTTCAAACTTTTGGGCAACTGCAAATTACACACAATGGTCTTAATGAGTCGCATACCACACTACGTACGAAAGTATGACACTTATAAGCCCATTTACCTACTACTTCCACCACATCGACTTTCAATTGGTACGACAGACGCGACAAGTTGCAAGCGAATTTGCATCTTAAATTGAATTTAATAGTAAGTCAATTTTACGGCCTTTTCACGCTCCCAAATTGCCATGATGACGACCTATACCATTAGAATCTGCTTCTCTCAACTGCCACCCCATTTTCCCCTACAACGATTAGTAAAAGACTAAATTCCAAAAAAATACTTCTTTGTCGCCTAATTACTATTATATATCGGCAGTAAGCAATACTATTGGGTGAGGTAACAAAGCGTCCTACAATCACCATTAAAAGGGAGTCAACACAAAAATTTTGGATTTGATAATACATTCAAATGCCTTCCCATGGAAAAAAATCTTTCCGTGTAATGATAAACGTCCTTAGAGCGTAAGTTCATCCCTCGTTTTAACCACATAAATGAGAAAAATAAAAAAACTGGTAACGCCACCTACCTTAGCTTCGTGTAATAGTTTTTCGTCGCCGATCGTTTCTGTTTGTGAGCCTCGCGTCACTGTAATTCTCTCTTGGGTTTTGTTAGGCGTTGTGGGCGGCGTCGCGACGGCATCGATCGTCGCGACATCTACACTCGTTTTAATAAACTCGATTCGACCGGACTCGACACATATATTCGGCGTGAGGGGATACGCGACCGGACTAGGATTCGAATCTGTGCTCGCGCGTTTCGAATAGTACTGCGCGAACGTCTGCGTCTGCGCAGACACCGGACTCGATCCGCAATGATCGATAATCATACCGCGATGACTGGCCGAAACAGGTGGTGGGGGTGGCGGGGGGATCGAGTCGATTGCGACCACGCACGCGTCCTTCTCGTACGCGAGCACTTGAGCTTTATCCTCACAAACCGGATGTACTTGACGAACGCTCGCACTGATCCGTGCAGGCTTTTCCGGAACGTCCATCGACGGTAAATCGGAAGCATAGCGAGACCCGGCGTTGGAAGCCCTGAAACAATTAAATTTTCAATTATGACATTTACCTACATTGCATACACATCAACCAATATATCAATTATAATCGAAAACTTTGTGAATCAACACTTATTTAAATTAATATAACAGTAGGCTCGGTTTCACTACTTTTTATTGAGACTTGACCGTGTTGTTTCGGCAGAATACTAGAATTACATTAAACTCTATAATATTCGTGTAGCTGACTATCCGTTAAATTTTTGAGAGCACCACATTATACTTACACATCTAGTTGATCCCGTCCAAAGGACGAAGGGATACAGCATAACCATGGGTATTTCTCAATTCGCAATCTAACTACTGTCTCTTTCTGGAGAACGGTTACTTTTTATCAGGCTAAAGTCCGATTCACATTAAACGTGATGGGCAAAGTTCAGTCACGGCCGAGTCAACAATTTCATTCTCATTGGAAGGACACGGTCAAGTCAAGCCGCGGTCATGATCGTGGCGATCATTTTTAAGACGATCAAGACTGTCGATGTAGGGCGAATCGAATCCAATATCGCAGAAGAGTTTTAGAAAACAATATTTCTTCTTCCTCGTTCAAAACAATCGCAATTTTCACGAATGCGCACATGTTCGCTGCGGATCCTGTAATAGTGTTGACGATAACATCGTCACCTTACCACAAAGTGTGAATGCCTTGCAGATGTCTTGCTCACGACTTGACTGTAGTATTAACGCAAAAAATCGGCCTTGATGCAGCGATAAATTGATAATATATTATACGTGTAATATCAATGCAAAATAAAAAGGAAAAAGGAGAGTGAGGAAAGTGATCCGCAACGGCAGAATTATATTCTAATAATAATGCAAAAACAGAAAACAAACGAGCGTGAACGTTCGAGCAGTGATTCATACGAATGTATGTACGTCTATTTTTGCATATCTATTTCTACATGCTCGAAATTGCATTCGTGGAAAACATTCCAATAGTGTCGTAGGTACGCTACTCAGATTGTACTACCACAAATGCGCGGCTTACAGAAGCTACGATTTCAATATTTCTAAAATTTCAGATTTTTACTGAATTTGTTCCTTTAACAGAACATGACCAGACCTCTCATAGGCAACTTCCTGTTCACCGTGCACGTAATTACTCATTAAATTCCTCTCTTTTTTTTAATCAATTTCATATTTCACACTATTACTTATCCAGATTGTTATCATCGACAATAATTGGATACGTTTGACTTACTGCTACATTAATTTTGTCAAGGAATATGATTGACTGTGATCAGTGATCATAGCTGCACATGCACAATTGTCAATAAAGGAAAATAGGTACAGAAATATTTAACAGGTCATCGCCATCCATCGATATCTCTCGTAAAATCCAAAGCAAATAATATCCGCGATATGAATGAATCAGTGAGATTTTAGTACTTGGCCTATTGTGGGATTTTTAAAGTAGTGATTGACAAGTAAAGGATTACGTATGGATATTAAACCGTACGAAATATGTGATACAACACATGCAAGTTCAATTCAGTCAGCTGCAGGTATGGTTTGTACGACAACTTCCTCGAAGAAAATTAACCTTGCAGGGCGTTTGGACGTATAAAGCAAACCAGCACTGTAAGACCGGTAGAATTACTCCGTACGTACCTACCTATGTAATACTTAGAAAGACCAGAAGACTGGTTCCCGTGCCGAACAAATCCATAAAAATAACAGCGCATTCGCATTTCCAGTTAGTTACTTACCACTATTCCAGTTAAGAAGAAAGAGCACCTGCTGGTCATCGGTAATTTCATTAAGTTAACTAGTTAACGTTACTGAAAGACTGCTTGTGGTCGACTCCTATCCTAAGGATTATCTTATTACACCGCAAAGCTTAACATTATTATGCAATTAGATACCACATTTATCTACTAAACTTGAACTGCATCTGTTTGTAATTTGAAGACGTTGCTCTTAAATTCTAAGACGTTTCTTCATCAAAGCGACAAGAGTAAAAGTTTCATTTCTTTTTTTCTTTTTCTTCGGGACACCTAAGCCTCCTAACCCTAAAAGCTATTTTTAACTTTTGATAACACGTAGCGTCGAATTAATCTACCACAATTTGCCGGAATTATTATGATTATACCTCGTTTTCTATCTTCTATTATCGCAACTAATCTTAAGTAGGTAGACATTATTTTAAACGTAAGCAGATTCGTAGAAGCAGAGTTTGAACGTACACCAGAATAACTGGCACAGATAAAACACATGTCCGCGAGTCAACCATGTAGGATGCAAGTTTATGGTACTGTCTTGTTACGTGTAGGCCGATGCTTTATTGTGCTTTTTCGCGTTTTTATTCGTTATTACAAGGTTATTTCATTCTGTACTTCGCCACGACGCATTCGTCCACCTCTTTACGTTGCATCAATGTACCTAGGAATTACATTTCAGCAATGAATAGACAATCATCCTATTCCTTTTTTTTATAATTGTATCGTTTACTTAGTCGTTGGACGCTTAGTAAAAATATAGTCAAGCAAAGAAAATTAGTTTTACTTTATTTTCACCCGGAGCGTGCACGAATCCTGCCGCTCGGCAACCTTTACGATTACTATTATTATTTTCTTGCTAAGATATCTCCCGACAACGAGCAAACCCCTCATTACCACACAACTTATTGCTTTTGCCCTGCAGAGTAAGCACAACAATGTACAATACTTGGAGCTAACGATAATTTAAGAACAAAATTAAAATTACCCATCGGTCTTCCATTTGTTTTCTGCATTATCTAAATTTTGCTCCCATATTAGACGGGCAGAGGAGAACTGTAGGCATTTTCGCAAACACGAATTAAACTAAAAAAGGTAAATTATGTAAAAATACGTGTTAACCAGATTCTGTTTATTATAAAAAGAAATCCTGGAAGATCGTGATTGAAATTGTTTCGTTGGATTTACTATAACACAACAAACTTTACAACCAACTAGGTGTGTATGTACGTATGTCGATTGTAGAATTGGGTAAGGTTTAATATGAACTTACGGTTAACGAATAAACATTATTGTTAACTTTTAAACTTAACGTCCAAGTGTTTTCGAACTTACAAATCGTAAATACGATTTTCCGATAAACACAAAATTATCGTCATATTTTCTCATTGTTGCAAAGTTGAAATGATAACACATCGAGTGTTTTTCTGGCGTGATAAAATGAAAAAATTTGAAGCGCTTCTATAGGATGTCTGTTATATAAAGGCAATCTTGTTGGAATACGCATAACCACAGTGTGTTTTAATTGTGCAAGAAAATGTTTCGTTTTGTGTTCATTCTCGCCTTCGTCAATATTGCCTTTGGCGCTAACGATTATGAATCAGACATCAGAAAATCGTTAGAAAAATTGAACGAGTTAAAACCTTTGGCTGCCTGTAAGTTATATATACCATATAAGTACATACATAATTTGATACATTTAAAAATGTGTATTTTACGCTTCAATCGTATCGTTTACAATTTTTCATATGTGGCATTTCCTAGAAAATTAGTGAAAATTTGTAGCATGGATTTTTAACTCATCTGTAATTTTTGGGAACATTTCTTTAAGATATTCAAAGCTTTAAGAGATTTCCTAAAGTTTTCAAAAACGACTACATTTGTGCCCTTTACTAAAAGATATTCATTCCTCGAGATGCGAGCCAAAAAGTGCTACTAAAGCTTTCGATAGGTTCAGACGAATGAGGAATAACGAAATCCAAACTTGTACGGTTGCTCTTCTTCGTACAATTTCGAGAATCGTCCGAAAGGACGCTGTAGGAATGGCGCTTATCGTGTGGTTGAGGTTCTTGAGTTCGTATTTTTCCAATGTACCTACTTAACGACATTTTCTTTTATTGTGGGTGTTGAACCCTGCGCTTTTATTCACCAGAAATAATAATCTCCTGTTCTCTCCTATTGCAAAAGATGAACTTAATCGACAATCAGAGAGCCAATCCCGTAAATTCTTACGAACACATTTCGAGCATATTACGTGTGAAACCTAAAGTATACCCACGACGTATCCTGTACATGTTTTAGCCAGCATAAGTGAGCAAAATCGAGCCAAGCCAGCGCTAGGAAACGTAAAAAATGGTTGACAAGTAGTTATATCGCGTACCTACTTCTTTATAAAACAATTCATTATGTTGGTCGGTCAACCATCTTGATCAGTGTAATCGTTAAGTGTTTTATTTTTATTCGAATTAGGTATACATATTTCTATCGCAAATGTAAATTCCTTACTTAAGTAGTTAAAATATGTTTTATCAACCTGAACGATGATAGATTACACCTTTTCAACGAACCGCAATTACTGGAAAAAAAAAAGTTAAGATATTAATGATTTTGTTTCAATACCTGCAGGTTTTTTTAATAACAAATTCATTGACTTTTTTTATTGACATGTAATTTAATTTCTACTAGATTTTTACGACAATTAAGGGTTTTTAATACACCGTATTAGAAACAATTACTTATTGAAATTACAGTGACTTTAGAGGTAATAATGTCATCTGATTGTTTAAGTACCTATCCGTGTATATGGGTGCATATCATCCAATAAAAATCTACATGTTTCATTATTAAATTAATTTCAGATTACAAAAAGAATCCAACATCTCCCCAGGTGTTTGCGACAGGAACGAACCTTATCAATAGTACTCTTAATGACCTGAGTGAAAAGTTAGCCGCCTATGACCCCGCAAGCGTAGAAGAAAGGAACATCAGCATTGAACGTTCTAACATAAAGTAAGAAATAAACATAAATAAATAAGTTAGAAATATCAAAAAGTACTAATAAAAAAAAAATGTATTTTAGATTCAGCGGAGTTCTTTCAAATTTAAATGTTGGAGGATTTTCGGACTTCGTGGCTACATCCCTGTCACTTTCTGTATTAAGACGAACACTCTCGTTTACCATAAAACTTCCCGAATTAAAATTAACAACAGACTATGACATTGATGGTAGTATTTCGTTTATTCCCATCTACGGAAAGGGTAACCTAAGGTTAGTGGCAAATTACTGCATAGCTACATAAATCCTTCTTACTATAACAGTTTGTAATGCTTAATGAAAATTGATTGTCCTTACCGCTAATAACTGTTATTTAATAATTTATTCCAGTTTGCAAGTCAGTGGCATTGAAGCTACGGGAAACGGCAAAGTATCTTTATCAAACCCTATATCAATTGAAACCTTGAATCTGGGATACAGTATCGGAAGTATTAATGTAAATTTATTATTATTTTATTTTTAAATTTTTATAATTACGAA